TATCAAATGACAAAAAATAAAAATGGCTTCCATAAAAAAACAAAGTTGATGGTTAACCAAAGACGAAAAGTCAGACTTAAAATTTAAAACTACCATCTTGTAGAGGGAAAAAAGTGGTCATAATAATGTCATTTATTTAAAAATATCTTTGTAAATAACTTCGGTAAAAATAAAAACGATTTTGCAAAATTTCGTTTTTTGCGGGTACCTCGGAAAGTAGTCGGAATTTTCTCAATTTCAAAACGGCATTTTGTTAAGCCTCAAAATATGCAACTTTGCCAAATTAAACTACCTATCTATCTCTTACAGTTTCCAAGATCCGCATGGTGGCCATCAAATTTGAATCAGCCTGTATATTCAAAAATGCTAAAATACTTATGCTTCTTGAATATACAGTGCGTTTATTTTATATTAGAACATAATTTTGCTATACAATGGTGTTTCCCTATGCTAATGCTACATGTTAAAAAAACGCATCAACGTATAGGATATGTGCGGTTCACAACTATACACACGTATTGGATAATCTGCGAGTCGCAACTGAACCAGCCAGAAATGGAAGGTATTAGTTCATCAGGATACTGGACTGCAAGTAAATCGCGTACTCGTTTTGCACTGTTGTGACCTTTGTATAAATTTATAATTTCAATTTTCATCTCTTTAGACAGCAATTTTGAAATGTATCTGCAGGGCGGTAGATTTTAAGGTGACAGTTGTACATTGCACCTACTATCCATTTAAACTACTCCTATTAGGTTGACGCGTTTTTTTAATGGAATATAAGGCATAGGCATTAAGCAAATGGACCTATTTCTTTGACGTCAAACAAAGACACACTTCCAAAATATTTGCGTACTGTTCTCTAAACAACGTCAGGGGAACGCTATTTACGCTAAAATAATACCGAAGATCATAACGGATCACCCTGTATATACGAATGTTTTAATTCAATTTAAATCTGGAGGATTGCATTACGAATTAGCACAGAAGTGGTTTATTTAACGGAATTTTCATTTTAGTGTCTATTTTTCCATTCTAGAATTGTTTTTGTTTTCTTGTTTAAATTTTATGATTCGGGTAAATTTGTTTATTTAATTTGTAAGGTGTGAAAATCTGATCGAGTGCATTTAAGTGCTATCCGGTCGTGTGTGATAAGGACGGTGTTATCGCGAAAGGTAATTGATTTCGAGACGCACAATGTGTGTGGCGTGAATAACATAGGATACAGGTGCACGGTTTCTTGTGCGCTGAATTTCGTAATGGACACCTAAAGCGCTCCTTATAGGCGTGGCATTTGAAATTAGCAGAAGTAGGAGTGATGATGATGTGGCGTTTTCCTGACTTCTATGTCGAAAACTATTAAGTTTTTCCTTATTATTTGTGATCGACCAGCTGCGTGTGGGGTTAATATAAGAACGCCTCTTTATTTCCGTATTCTTGATGATTTTCTGAGAATGTGTTTCGGAATTCATTTTTTTGTCAGTGTCAATCAATTAATTGTGTGTTTATTTGAACTCTTCGTACAACCCAGATAGTGTTTTCATATTCAAATTTTTCTATTTGTGCTCAAGATTTATCTCAGGTGTTTTTTAATTGATTCTTTCGATTTATCGGAAGTTGATCGAGGCTACCAAATCTCTTAAATTATAAATTTCGATTCATTATTAGAATTTTGCTTTGTAGCTAATCCCGGAGATGTACGAGGAGGGATCATAAAAATTCAATTTTTGATTTGTTTGAGCTAGTTGGACAAGTGTTTTGTAAGTAGTGTAGTTGACCGCACGTAGGAATACGTACGTATAATAAAATTTGAATCAATCAAACTCATCTTCCCCTAAACTACAGTCTTCCACAAAATCCAGTATCTAAAATTGTACAAAACTATTTTGATATGGCCACTTGTCTATTATTAATTTAATAGTCCCTCTAACAGACTATGAAAAAATGTATAATATCTCTTTTTTCTTTTTCAACTCAGTTAGAAGGTTTTACCTAAATAATATTGCATTCAAATTGATAAAGAAATTATATTTGGGAAATTATGAATGGGTTAATAAAAAATGACATACTCACAGTTGGAAAATCCCCTTCGAAAAAATGTTAAAAGGTTAAAAAGTGAACCTAGATGAATAATTTCTCTTTACTAATTTACATGACAAAATTCTGATACCTCATAATATTCAACTCCTAATAAACGCGCAACCCCAAATAAATTCAATTCTAAGCCCCTCTTTTGTGGAAACCACCCTTAAAATCATTTCGAACTACCAAAATCTAATAAAACAGCGATTTTTTAGTAGTTCAGCGTTTGGATCTTTCATAATTTCTTCAAGGACTATGAAAGTTTCTTTAAAAACTTTTTACACAGTTTCTAATCATTCCTTAGATATTTTATAGAGATCCAGAAAAAATCAATCTGACGTTTTTATTTCTGAGACATCCAGCCTCAAATAGAACATTGTACGTACCACGCAAGGTTAAGCAGTGGATTACAAATATCAGATGTCTTAAACAAAATCTGAGCTAAGCCGTAAATGGTACCTTAGTAGGTAAAGTAGTATTGCACTGCTCGAAATAATTGTAAGTTTCGTGAAAATACGGAAAACACTTCCATAAATCACAGTATTACATTTGTATAGAATTATGAACCTACGAAAGCGTAGAGCGGACATAGATAAAATATTTTACTAATTTCAAGTTATAACTCGAAGTTAAGCCCAGCTTCGAGATACAAATCGAAATTAAGACTAGCTTCGAGTTACAACTCGAAATTAACGGTAATTTCAAGTTATAACTCGAAATTAAGGTCAGCTTCGAGTTACAACTCGAAATTAACGGAAATTTCGAGTTACAACACGAAATTAAGATTAGCTTCGAGTTGTAACCCGAAATTACGTTTGAGTTCCCGTTATTATACTCTGTATTAATCCAATCCCGGTTACTAATTGTTCAGAGTTGACAGTTAGTGGCGATTGTGTTTTAAATGCGGTATCGTGGTACTACTTTGTCCAAATGGAAGAACTGATCTCATTTTATTTTCGTATGGGTTTACAACAGTGCGAAATAGTGTCTTGTTTGGCGTTAAATCATAGCATATTTATTAGTGATCGCCACCTTAGACGTTTGCTGAGAAAACTAAATTTATTCAGAAGACAGAATTACTCGGATATAACCGATGTGGCAAACTTTATTGAAAACAGTGTTCACCAGCACAGCCAACTCCATGGGTATCGGTGGATGTATTTAAAATGCTTGCAGGCCCATTTCGTTGTGACACAAGAAGTTGTGAGACTGTTACTTCACATTATTGATCCGGTAGGTGTAGATATTCGCACTAGACGTAGATTACGTCGTAGGCAATATAAGAATAAAGGACCTAACTTTCTATGGCATATGGACTGTTATGATAAACTAAAGCCATTTGGTATATGTATTAGCGGATGCATCGACGGATTTTCTAGGCGAATAATGTGGCTGTATGCCGGGAACAATACTAGCGATCCAAGTGTGATAGCAGCCTACTATTTGCTAACATTAAAGTCAATTGGAGGTTGTCCTAGAACTGTAAGGGCTGACATGGGCACTGAAAATGGCTTAGTCAAAGAAATTCAAATTAATTTAAGAAACCAGGCTTTAACGGATGATGGGCATAGTCTACTGCCTCCTTTTCTGTATGGAAAAAGTACATCAAATCAAAGAATAGAGTCGTGGTGGTCAATTTTAAGAAAACATCATTCACAGTTCTGGCTTAACCTATTTCATAAACTGCGAGAGGATGGTAATTTTTCTGGAGACTTTCTGGATAAAAACTTGATACAATTCTGTTTTCTAAAGATTATACAGGTAGGAAATACATATTCTATCAGATACTTAAAAAATAGTAGATATTTCTGCCGTAAGATAGTCTGAAGGCGGTGAAGCGTAGTTTTTGTTCTGCACAATAAATGAAAAATGTAAGTAGATATTTCATTACTAATACTGATATTTTTAGGATGAACTGGACACGGTGGCCTTAGAATGGAACTTGCACAGAATATCGGGATCAAGAAACAGTGTTTCGCCAAGAGGTCGACCATTCACCTTGTATCATATGCCTCAAATTTACGATACTACAGACAACATTTGTCACATTCCAATTAATGAAATTTCAAACTTTGATGAATTCTGTGCATTTCCATCCAACTGTCCTTGTGACAGAGATGTTTATGAATTAAGCGTGATTTTAATGATTGAAAATGATTTGCACTTGGCTAGGAATGCACACGATGCCACAGATTTATATTTATATCTACGAGCGAAGATAGTGGATCTTATGATTTAATACAACGGTGTATTGGTTATCACACAGTGTATGTCGATTATTTTACTTTATTCACATACATTCACATATATCGTTTTTATAATTATAAGTATATAAAAATAAAAACTTAACTTTACAAATAAAAACTATGAACTAAACTGAAATTCTCTGATGTGTAACATAACATCAATGTACTTGTATTTAAGCAGTCAATAATAATTAAATAATGTCTATTAACCACACGTTCCCAAAGCACTTGCTGCATTGCCGCGTTGTATTGCCATAAGCTTATTTGTTGTTGAAGACATGTTTTGGCTTGACGAACTCTAGTTTTTGTTTGCAGCAAGGAACCTATTTAATGCCACAATGTTTTGGTTTCTTCGCTCTAGGTTCCCATGGTTTCAATGGCGAAAGCATCAAATTCATATGTTTCTTTAATATCTTTGTATTTCTTGTGCTTCAAAGAAACTGTAGAAGCGGCGCGGCGGCAGAACCTGAGAGCAAACAGCTGTTCTGAAGGTGTGAAGCAGCAACAGTGTCGACGCAAACCAAAGAACGTCCTTTTCCACAGAGTTATAGACATTCCGTCTGGGCGTTTACCACCCGTTCGGAAAAGGCCACACGGTTATAATAAATTTGGAATATCAATTGATACCAGAGCCCGTTTTAAAATATTATTTTTATGAATACTGGTGCTAAATGTATAGGGAAATAATTGCGGTCACTCCAACCACTTCCAATTATTTTAGCAACAGCTTCCCATTCCGCGAAACCGAAATAATCTCGAAGACAAGGCACTTTAAGGCTCGTTCCAACGGTACAGAGCAGGTTTCCGGCTTTCCGGTATCTTGCACCGATAGGGGCAGGTTTTTCGCGCTGAGACTGCACAAAATAGGAGCGGGAAAAAGCACCAAATTAGAACAGTGTGCTTGTATACCTATGCAAAAAAGTCATCTGACGACGACCTAATTATTTTGGAGTTTGTGTTAATAATGTTAAAGGGAATAAAGATGGCACGCATCCCATTAATCGGGAAAGAAAAGAATAAAATATCCCTTTATCGTCTCTCTACCCGCTGATGTCATGACAATAGATGCATAATATCAGGTATCGCTCTGTAAAAGTGTAAACTAATTAATCAATGAAACCAGGATTTTATCGTTTATTATATGTTTACTTTTAAACATGCAGGGTTAATAAACATTCAATGCGGTCAATTTTAAACGCATGCACGTTTGACATACAATATGGTAATCGCACCTACACAGGCACCTACATCATATAAAATAATAAAAGTATCTAGGTAGATACCTACTGATTTAAAAGAAAATACTTACAAAATAAAAATAATCATAACACACTGATGTAGGTAAACCAAAATCTAAAAAACAAACCAAAAATGATACGTTTGACACCGCGTTTACGGTGTTTTACATAAACAAATGCTTAAAAAATAGTAACATAAAAACTTTGAACTTATTCTAAGAAACCTTTCTATATTATATCCATTACCCATACACCAGATATAAGTAACGCATTGAATTCACTTCTAAACTCTACGAAACTTTTGTAAGATTTTGGAAGTTGCAACAGCTTGTTGCAGGTATGTGCAATTGGTACACGCGCAAAACCGTCAGACTCAATAAAATCAACATTTATTTTCTGGTTGGCAAGATTGGAGCCAGTGCAGAACCGCAGCAGAGCACAACGCGTTTTCTCATCGCTTTCTTTTATGTATTTTAAAAGGAAAGCGAACATCTGATTTTCTACGTCCGAGGAATTGACTTTCTTCTCAAAACAAGAGATAACATTTTTTACGGACGGAGATAAACTTTTATATAATTCATCTAAATTGACAGATCTTGCTATCGAAAATAATTCCTGTGTAAAACATTGCACAATAAAGGCAGAACGCTGTAGAATTTCCTGTTCCGCAATTTGCTCAATTAAACTTCGTATATTTTCTTTACTTGGTACCCATTTCGCCTTAAATAACGTGCATACACTGTATAAGTCGTCAAGATCCACGCTTTGAAAATCATTTAACGCATTACTTAACACATTTTTGTCACTTTCGCTAACATAATTTAAGAAGTTATCAACTAATTCGACTTTATTTACAATTTCCTTAAAACATTGCTTAAAAAAAACCGGTGCTATCCTAATAGGAAAATATTTTTCTTTTCTATAACCCCCAACTAAAATTTTAGCGACTGCTTCCCATTCTTTTATTCCAAAATCATGGCGTATAATAGGTACTTTATAGTCAGTACCTTCAGTGCAGTTCTCGTAAAATGTAGTCCAGAATTCGGATAAAACATCTCGAAAAACACCACCAACATCTTCAGCAAGTTCTGGCCTTCCGTTTGGTAGAATTACCTCTATTTGAAGACTATTGAAATGTAAATCGTAATTTTTTGTAGCTTCTATAAGTTCCTGAAATATTTGTCCCCTATGTAAAACCAATTTTTCACTTGACAATATATTTTCAACTATGGCGGTCGAGGTCTGAGTTACTTCAAATATGTTATCTGTGGCTGAGAATGTGTTGAGGAAATTATCCGGCGAGTTATGCAAAGGTAAATCAAGATCCTAAAAATAAGTTACTTGTTAATGGTACACGAGTTTTTGATGGTGAGAAAAGTCAGTCAGTCAGGCAAAGTCAGAATTAGAAAATGTTTTAACTAGAAGAAGCTACCATGAAAATTTCATCCTTCCACAAATAGACATTCTGCATATGCACAAATGCGCAGAAGATGACTTTTGGCATGTGCGTAAAAGCTAAGAAAAGCTGTTCTGCAAATAGGAACGAGTTACGTGGATCGATGGAAAGACAGCCAGACCGACAAATCATTTGAAATCATTTTCATTTTGTTTATTGTCATACAAATAGGTACCACCTAGGGGAAGAGATACACGGAAGACGGAAGACAGGCGGACGGACAGGCAAACAGACAGACAGAGAGACGGAAAATAAAGGGCTTTTCACATTTTTGCGGGTTCGGAGGGGCGTTACAAAAATGTTGAATGTAACTGTTTAAAAGTAAAAGATATAGTCAAAGCGAAAAAATTACTAGCTATATAATAAAATGTAGTTACCTCTTCAATAAAGGAAGCTAAATATCCGGAAATATTGCTGGTTGAAGGTTGATTGATATCGTCTTCTCTATAAGCAACCGTACTGGGTTGAGGTGGTTGGTTGGAAACAATGTCGTTTTCAAAGTCATCACATAAATCGAAGACCATCTCATTCTCACTACTGTCATCTACCAGAGGAAGATCATTACCGCCTTCTTTGCATTTAACAACGGATAAATAAAACCGCAATTTATTTACTTTGGTTTCATTGTACATTTCCTCAACAGTTAAGTCGGTATCCACTGGGCTCTTGCAAAAATCAAGCAGACTTATTGTGAAGTTTTCAATAGGCCCAAAAGTCTTTGAAATATTGTTAGGGAAAAACAATTTTTTTGCAAATTCCAAAATATCTGTATTTTTGCTTGTCCTATCTACGTCGACTTTTCTTGTGCCTCCCCCTTTGTTAAGTCTAACTTGCGTTAGTTGTTTTGTGGTATCATTGAACGCCATAAATCCCAATTCAATAGCTCTGGTCGTCTTTCTATGCTTCTTCGGTTCCAATACGTGAGAAGATGCTCCTTTATTATCACTTCTAGCATTTCTGGCAGCCATTTTTTGGCGTAGCTTTTCAATTAAGCCATTTTTTTTGGGTAATAGCTTCTTCTGGCAAAAGTTTTTCACCGCTATTCTGTCGCCTAATCGAGGAATGTATTTCTTAAATACCTCCTCGTCCATTACTTGAATGGTGGCTTCATCAATCTGATAAACATACAAATTAAAGAAGTTGAGATATTATATAACTATCAATTCGTAGATATCGTCAGTCAAATGGATAAGTGTGATTAGCGGACTAGCCTACGAGTATAATGTTATATATAACCCGCCTTCCGGGATAGTATCGTGTCAATGTTGAACGAAAAGACTTTTTGTTCAACATTAGCATGATCCTATTCCGGAAGCCGCTCGCATCTTAATAAAAACAAAGATTGTAAATCGACACAAGGTGTGCTGTGACCGGTATATTGCTAGTATAGGAGTATACTTACATTTTCTAACTTCATATTTTCAATTTCATCATTCGATAAGCCTCTCGTCTTTAAGAACTCTTCCAAAGACAAATTCATCTGTAAAAAATTAAATTGTCGCACAACCCTTAGCAATAACTTATAGGCACGCCATTACTAGCTTTACTGACGAGTTGAGAATGCATCCTTTTACCATGGTTTAAATACTTTTAAAGAATGCTTTTACACAACGCAAATGAATTACGTAAAGAATATGACTTACCTGTTCCAAGCAGTTTTCTTCACCCATGGTTCACATTCACAGAGAAATATAACAAAATTCGCTTACTTTGAGTTATTATTCTACTTAAGTCGGTTTAGAAGATAGAGATGACACGTAATCACCTACTCTAATTCTTAACTGTCATGTGCCTCAAACAGTAATTAGTTGAAATACTTAGTAATAAGCTAGTCTTAATTTCGTGTTGTAACTCGAAATTAACCTTAATTTCGTGTTGTAACTCGAAGCTAGCCTTAATTTCGACTTGTAACTCGAAACTGACCTTAATTTCCAGTTGTAACTCGAAGCTAGTCTTAATTTTGACTTGTAACTCGAATCTAGTCTTAATTTCAAGATGAAACTCGAAGCTAGTCTTAATTTCGACTTGTAACTCGAAGCTAGCTTTAATTTCGAGTTATAACTTGAAATTAGTAAAATATTTTATCTATGTCCGCTCTACGCTTTCGTAT